TGTGTGTGTGTGTGTGTGAGAGTATTTGTATGCATATGTGAGTATGTGTGTGTATGTGTGTATGTGTGTGTGTGTGTGTGTGTGTATGTGAGTCAGTGGCGAAGCGTCTATATAATCAAATAATCACTGCTTCCCTTACTAGTGTTGAAACATTGCCGCTGTCAAATTCACCCATAGACGTAAACCTCATAAATTAAATGTAAAAAGACACTCATAATCACCAATGAACAGTATGCCTAGCATTCAAAACGGTTTCGTTGTCACAGAAATAGCCTGTTCACCCCTATCGTGCCACTCCATAAGCAGTCGCAAGCTTTGATTATGTTAACTTACAGTGAGACTGGAAGAGTCTACCAAAATTGTTGAAGGGAACATGTGTGCAACAATCAAAACTGTCCCATTGCCACGTATACCCTGTTCACCCCTTTCGGGCCACAGTTATAAGCAGTCACCAGAACTGATTACGTAAGCAAACTATTACACTGGTCGAGTCTACCTCACAGATGTGAGGGGAACTAACTCCTAATAGCCTAATATAGTGACTGCTGTGAGTGCTTGTTTTACCGTCCTATAATCAGATCGTGACCTCGATTATGACACCAGCTCCTGGCCGCTAAACGCTAGACAAAAACAGCCACATGAGAAATAAAAAATTAATAATTGTCATATTCTACCAAAGAGTTTAGTCTCACTGGTACTGGTATTACATACCGTAGTACTGACATCTCTGCTTCTTTGCTTTGTGTTTGTGTATTCACATCTAAAGATAAATTTAATGTTTGTTTAAATAAATATTTAATGAGATACTTTCCCGATTGTTTTAGCGGTTGAATATGCATACAACAACATGAATTCAGACATTTGTTTTCTTTCACAACTCTGTGTTGTCACCTCGAATAAGATTCTTGTGTGATAAATCTCCAGGCCCTATCTGGTCCCTTCTCACTTTGATTACCCTGTTAAACAAGTCAGCCTTCGCCCATTGTGAGTGTAGAACCTAGGAGGAGAAGGAGAGGGGTTTGTCTACGCTTTTATTATCTTCTCCTTTCCCTCTATTTCCCTGTTTATTTATTTAAATTGATGTTTTTGTTGCTTCCACATAGTTTCCGCCGGATGAAAATACTGCTTTAAAAGCCTCCGTTTTGACCCAGTATGGCATACGTACTTCCGTATTGAAAACTCGTATAAAATAAATACTGCCAAATATAGTTACAGCTCAGCCCAGTGATTCGCCCACCAACTCCAACAAAACTATAGTCTTCGTTTCAACTGGTAAACTAGAACATTTATTATCTATTGATTACCTCTGCTAGAGGGCTGCTCTGTTGTGTGGGAGTAGCCAATGATTTCTGACGTTTGAAATACACCACTCACTGAAGAGCGGTGAATATCATTATACGCTTTGGTTCCGTATTTTTAGAAAGTAGGCTATAGTATGTCGTCAACATAATAATGACGTTGGAAGACAATACAGAAAGGTGAGACGCATTTGTCTGGGGTGACGTTGAGAGTTCTTGCTGTCATCAGGACATGCACAATGCGTTATTGTATTTATTATAATGTATTTGAGGTAGTTAAAGGTCAAAGCGAATGTAAGATAAGATCCCCTAGTAAAAAGTACTAACGAAATCGCAAGAGTGCACTTTTAAAAGAGTCTAAGCCGGATTCTGCATGATCTGTTATATGGCGTCAAAGGTTCTGATCTGGTTTTCTTGGTTTACTGTTATTTGGCAGAATCTTATCTGATCCGTCTATAATCTAAAATGATAACATTAAAGAAACCGAAATTTTTCCGCGCGTAGGGAAATTTTTATCGATTGTTTTAGTTTTGTTCTTGAACACCTTTCATGTACATTTGAAAACACGATTCGGTGTGGACTTTACGGGAAAAACGTTCAACAAAGGGGGGAAAAGGGGGAAAAAAAAGGAAAGTGCAGTTTCAAAGGACACTACATAAAACATTGGGAGTCATCAAACTGTGTTAGCCCATATCCTCACCAATTTTACTTCAGACACCAAGCGACCCCATCTCCTTTAATCACTTTTATTCGAGATAGGCGTCTTTTCACCAATTGAGGGACAAACGAATAGGCTTTAGAAAGACACATACAACCCAAAAATTGACGAGCGCCTGATTCCACCGTGTCGTGACACAATCAGTTTGTTTTGTGAGTCGATGGAGGTCAGATAAGATTTCAAGTATTTCTGCAGACAATCAGAAGGTGACAGACTCAAAGTTGTGGCAAGACAGAGCCTGTCCTTTCATGTTAAAATGCAGTCGAACCTGCTCTAACGACCACCGGTCTAAGACAATCACCCGTACAAACGACAACTTCCCATACACCCCCCCCCACATAGAAAATGATATAAAATGTCACTGACGGGTAGAATATTGCTCTAATTGCTTCTTAAATATAATATCAACTACTTGTTGCACAGTAGAATTTGCTTCTGGCCAACTTTTATAATACTGATATCATAAATACATAAACTTGATATATTTACATAAATCAATATAAGATAAAAATCAAGGAAATACAATAATACTGTTATGGTCCACAATCTGTTTGAGAAGATACAGCAACCAGGCACATCAACTTTTGCTTATTTTGAATGAAGGCGAAAAGTGAAGGAAGTTGAGCTATACAAAATTATTGGAAATGTATTACAGACAGACCCAAACCTCAAGGCCTGCACTTCCCGACTATCTTAGCTGTGCAGATTGTGGGCTATAAATGTCGATTGGTTGCAGGTGGATTAATAGCTAAACCTATCCTCAGCACTGCGACCTTAAATTTCCAAAGCACCCTGGCTTCGACAACTGATTGAGACTCTCAACGAGTCTGATATGACAAGGCTGTGTTTTCATATTTTATTAAGGATAAGCGCGATCGCAGCACCAGTATATCGTGTTGCTGCTTTTTTACTCCCCTAACACCTTAACTTCGCACGGTATAAACTGATCCTACAGTAGCTTAAGTAAAGACGCCATTATGTTTGACAATACTAATTGGTGTACATAAAAAGACAAAGTCAACAACACAGTACGAAACAAAACAAGAAGAGCACAGTCAATTATCTTCCAAAGCAAGTTCGACGACTTTCATTCTTGTTTCTAGCTACCAGGACAAAATCATTCCTTTCACTTGGTGCTGAAGCTCGTTTCTTGTTCTCCACTTTATTTGTCAGTAGGGGTATATCCGGTAGCGTTGAGCGTGACCGCAGCCTACTTTGTCTCGTGTATTGTGAGAAGAGCACCTGATGCGATCGCTTTGTACAAAAGGGGTAGATCCTGTCCTTATCATATCCTCGCGCTCTTCTTTAACTCACACACACAAACAGCAGCGTTTTAAATAAACGAACTGACAAGGTAAGTGCGCACATATCAAGCCTGTGCTTTGACGATGCCAACACCGCTGTCCTTAAGTAATGTCAACCGATGAGAGTGTATATGTGTGCATGCATTATGCTTGTACATTGACGTTATAGTATTAGCTGAACTGTCCAAAATGCTGGCTGTTGGGCATGTGTATCACGACTTTGCAGTAAAGTTCTTAGCAGAACCAACTATCCATAATGTCGGCTCGAGAGCGCATGTATCACGTCTGCGCATTGGCATTGGCAGCCGCAGCAGCACTCTCCTTACCTTCGGCAGCCGCTGCACGTACGGCGATGAGGTTCCTCTCGCTGACACTCCTGTGAACGTCCACCTCATCCTTGAAGGCCAACAGACCCAGCTGAGGGTGTGACGCCTCGTTCAGAGCCTTCGATCTAATACAGCTTCGATACTGCTCCGCACTGAGAGTCGGGTCACAATATTTCTCATGCCACAGATGGAATATCGCTGGGTCTGTGGCTCGAATAACGAAGTAATCGCTGCGGACGAATTTCTGATAAAGAAACACGTCTTCACCACCCCAACCGGTGATCTGTTCGTCGAAACCTTTGATTTTGAGGAAATCCGATCGGTACTGACAGGTCATACCGTAGCCAAAGTCCCGCCAGAATCCCGTGTCCTTGGACAAGACTAGCTGGTCTTGCAGGCTCGGGATGGGGACATCTTGCAGAGAGTAGACCACCCTGGGGTTGTACAGGCTGAATACGATCGGGTAATAGACCCTCTGACCCCGCTCCGTGTTCAGTCGACATCGCTCGAGGAACTCAGCAGTAAACACGATGTCTACGTCACAGAAAAACAACAGCGCATCCCCGCCTTTCCAGTTGAGCGCACCGATCTGAAGACCCCGCCCCCTGGCGAAAGTTTCGTTCAAGGTCACCAGCTTCATGAGCTTGAACTTGTGCGTCTTGGCCACGTGACTCATGATGGCCTTGACCTCCTTGAGACCCGGGACACCGAAGTAGACCACGGTGAGGTAGACTCGCTTGTCGTGCTTGACGCACACCGAGGTGAACTGCTCCATGAAGATGCGGAACGCGTCCACCCTGCCGGACAGAGGGAGGATGATGTTGATCCACTCGGTGGTCGTGTCCACTGACCGGTGCTGGACGGTCACAGGCGGCGCGAAGGGCCGAAGGATGGAGATCTTTACGTACGAGTGTTTCTGTTGGGGGTCGGGGCTGTCTCTGTCGTTGAAAAAAAGCTCAAAGTGAGAGCCAGAGGTTGGGTCTGTCCGGTACAACCCTTCCACGAAGTCGTCATGGGTGTATAAATTGTCAGAAGACCTGTTTTTATTCAAACTTTCTACTGCGTGATACATGATCTCGTTTAAGTCTTTCTTTTTCGATCCTATAGGTTTTTCCACAACCCTTTTACCCAACCCTGGATCTACCATAAAAATTCGGTTAAATATAAACCTGTTAAAGGGGATAAGCTCGTATTCTGTTTTATAAGGCTGACCCTTCAAGATCTCAGCAGATTTGAGATGCTCCTGAAAGTACTTAATGAACTCGGCCGTTTCGTTTACTTTGCTCTCACCACCGCTCGTCGCCGCCCTCGTCTTATCTTCGTTCAACGAATCACTTTCCGTCTGTTTAACACCTGTACCACCAACATCCGACTGAGCTTTCTTCACTTCTTGCCCCACGGGGGCGCTGCGCGGCACCCTTTCTAATCCCATCGCAGCAACCCCTCGTGTGTCCTCCACATTCATACCATCCACAAGTCCGGCCGTCTTTACACCATCTGTGTCTCCCACCACCCCGAGCGCGTGTCTGTCTATCATATTTCTGCTACCGGCTTCGTTTAGATTTCCCAGATTCCTCGAGTTTACAGCTCCAAATCTCTGATCTCCCAAGTACTGAATATTTACGGGATTCCCCATCATGTCTCCTGGCATAATCTGTCGCGCCTCAAAGCCATTCCCTCTCCCAGCAAACCCCGCTGGCTTTACGCCATACGGCTGACGTTTCTCTCTCTCCACGTAAGCAAATTGCTGCTCCGTATTCAGAACGGGTTCCCCCAAGGCTGTCTTTTCTCTGTAGATGCCACCAATAGGAGCAGGGCCGACCCCCTGAGCGGTATCCCCCAACCTAACGCCCCCGATCCGCGCATCTTGTAATTCGTCATAATTCCCCATACCCCCACCAACCCCGACAGGATTCTGCACGCCAGCTCGACTATCTCCTTGGCCTGGCCTCACGTCGTAATCTGGATAGTTTCTATTCCTGATGACGCCATCAGTGTTTATGCCGTGCCTCCCCTCCTGAGGAAAGCCCGCAGCCTTGGCGTGACGTGCGCTGTCGGCACCCCGGGGGATGGCACCGTTGGGGTCACCGCCGTAACCCATGTGGGCGTTCGGCGGGTGGTGCTGGCGCTGTGTGAGACGACTGTTCTCCGCCTTGGTAGACAAAAGGCTCGCTGTGAGGTTTACCACCTGGCCCTGAACCTGGGGGAACAGATAAGATAAACGGTTTTCTAAATCTTTTGTTAGGTTTTTAACCTTGCAATGTGCGCTTAAGAGCGGGATTTTCCCCAATTAGTCAGCTCTTTTTTAAACAGATGAAACAAAGGGGGTGTGCACATGTGTGTGGCGTACAGAGTATAAAGAATATATCTGCATTAAGTGCCCTTTTCAGAAGATTTGTGATAAGAAGCGTTTCTTGTAATATTTGTTTCGCTTCTTTTAAACAAAACCAATCAACAAACAAAGAAATAAAGGGAAAAGGTTGACGGGGGTGATCCTTTCAAATACAGTGTGTGTGTGTGTGTGTGTGTGTGTGTGTGTGTGTGTGTGTGTGTGTGTGTGTGTGTGTG